ACTTTGAGGGCGGTGTGCGCTGGCGCGTTGTCTTGATGCGTCGCATGTGGAGTTCTTCCTTTAGAATCAGCTGACAGATCCCATAGTCTATCCCAACAATGTCGCACAAGTCGTTGATGGTACGACGTCGATCTTCGTGAATGGTCTGCCGAATCTTCGTAACATTTTCGGGCGTTGTGCTCGAAGATGGTCGTCCAGAACGCTCGTCATCATCGACAGAGGTTCGGCCATTTTTAAAACGTGAATACCACACAAAAGTTTGTGCACGACCCATTGCAGACTCCCCAAATGCTTGCTTTGGCGAGTCTTTGGCAAAATTTGATACACACGCCATTCCGAAATCGCAGGAGGGTCGGTGTAATGCACTACCAAAACGCCCGTAACTAAGAAACAAATTCTAATTCGATGATGCCGGCTGGCACACTGATTCACTATGAATGTAGGCCGCATCCCCTAGCGGCAGAAGCTCGTACTACATCCGGTTCGCCCTCTATTGGCACAGTCTAGAAACTTTCCGATCGCACCTCGTATGTTATATGTGGTGGAGTGGAGGTAAAGTGGCACTTACTCTTAACCTCAAAACTAGATGAATGTGAATAGTCAGCTTCAAGGCCTCCCAATTTGCCCTTCAGGAAAGAACTCTGGTACTCATTGAATAGGAGGCTTCTTGGGAACCAGAGCCAGTCTAGATGTTGTGGAACAGTACATATCATCAGTAGTTATGATTAGCAAAAAATTAGTAGAACAGAGTTAAGAACATACTTCATTCAATTTGTCTGACTGCAAGCTTTGGAAGAGATTGAGGGCAACATGTTTTGAAAAACACTAGATAATGGTCAGTTAGATTTTATAAGATAAATATTTTATTACTTAATATGTTAATATAATCAGTTGTTTGCAATAAATTTGATAACTGACAAGTTGAGAACTCATTATATTTCATAATAAGGAGGTTATAGTTATGTTTGATGATAACTAAATGTCTGGTTGTCCAATGCCACCTTTCACAAGATTGCTTTCTGAAGTGCATTTGTCATTCAGGTTGTGGGCACAACTGCACACTGAGCTGTGATAGGTTACCAGTTCCTGAACTTGCACTGTGTGGTAGTGGTGTTGTTTTGTGCCAACCAACAGGTCAAAATATCACCTGCTTCTGTAATCCTGGATACAAAGGTCAAAGCTGTGTAACACGTAAGCAAGTTTTTTATTTTAAGATTCTTCATAATGAAATGTGTTGACAATCTATGTACGTTTTTCTTCCATTATGATTTCTGTGGACTTCTCCTGGTAAAAATTTGTTTCCTTCCATGTTTATGTGAAGTTACCATTATTTTTACTCTACATTCAAAATAATTGTAAGTTTTGCATGAAAAATATTTCTTCACAATAGAAGTACAAAGAAGAGGTTTCACTTTGAAACAAAATTGAAAATTTTAATAGCTTTAAATAGTTTGAAGTAGCATCACACACAGCACTTCATTTCAACCAGAGTTGTATAAAGAAAGTTACTTTCTTTATACAAACTTTAAATGCTTTCTATATAATTTGAAGTATTATCATAAATTAATTTACATTAGTTAATTTTAACTGGAACCTGTATAAGAAAAGTTATTTTAAATCACATGTAAGCTTACAGAAGGGTCTACTTGAACTTGCAAAAATGTGACAAGATGTAAAACACTGCCAGATTTAATAATATATCTAGTCCAGTTATTCAGTAGTCAGTCAAGATAAGGGTTTGAATACTGAAAGAGGCAGACAGAGGAGTTAGCAAACCCAGGTATGTGTGTGTTAACTTGGTACCAAAATGGGCCACTAACCTAGACATCTACAGCACCAGGTACGTGAAGAATAACACTTTCCTTGTTTTACACAGTTATGGTGGTAGATCACTAACACATAATTTTGAAACATTGAAAAACCTGTCCTGCTAATGTGAAGGACACATACCACACACCCAAGAAAGTGCTTTTGACCTTAGAGAGGATGTAAATTGTGAAAGACGTTTCCGGATCTCACAAATTCATTGCTCAATGAGATGATTTCTGTTAATCCAGTAAAATAAAATGAACCACCAAGATTTTAACATCTGAGACCCTGAAATAACATTATAAGGTAGACAATTTGTATAAGAATCCTTGGATGTACCTCACAGATTGGAAAATTAGTCACTGTTCTGCAACCCACAGAGACAATTACAAATACTCATGCTGTAGTCATATTCACCAATTTATTCAGTAGCTTGAACTTGTAAAATCTATCTTGTGACACTCTGAGACAGTGGGACACTTTGATATTATCATCTCCCTAGAGTTTTAAGGTGATAGAACCAGAACATTTGGCAACATATAAAGAGCATGATGCAGCCACATTTGGGACCAAAATATTTCTTATTTCTCTGTCATACCACTGACAATCATGGCTTTCTGAGAACTGATTATCCTATGTTCCTTAGAGAACCAGTGAGCTATTACAATAACAAATTGAAGCTATGTGACTGTATACAGATACCTCCAAAGATAACCAGAGGTGTACTGCAGGGTATCAGAGCAAACTGTTGTTGAAGATGGTTGTCTTCAGGGTTGATGCACCATGTAATCTAATAGTACTACATGGCACACCAACCCAGAAGACAGGCATCTTCAGACTCACCACAGTGAAAACCTCAAATCCTACTGAACTGATGTTCAACCACATACTTGCATGATAGAGATCTATAATAATTAAACAAAAGTTTGTTTTATCACATCAAAGTGCATTCATGGGCAACCACACATATACTTCATAGCCATCCCTTGGACAAACACAATTGCAATAATTAAGTTCTCAGTGGCTGAGATAATTACATCCCCTTTTAAGGTAATTTTATAGTCTGACATAGATAAAAAGTTACCAAGCTTTCAATATTAGAATTTTGAATTGTGTAGTGTGGGTAGAATTTTGAAAAATGCAATGTTGACAGTTCTACATCTAATCTGAATTAGCGCTGATATGCATATGTGTGTGGTGACTGATGGAGGTAAGAACCCTCAGCATTAACGGTTTTTGTCCTTTTCAAACATATTTTGGTCATTCGAATATGATTCGCACTAAATGTACAGCATTATCACATATTCTTCAACTTGAACACTGCGGCCTTTGTAAATTTGAATTTGATTGATTGGTGTTGTGGGGTTGAAACACTGATAAGCCAAACTGTATATGACTGAAACAAATTTGAGTACACTTACAGAATTCCTTTGCTGACAGGATACTAAAAGTTTGATGATTTATAGTAATAAAAAATAGCTGCTTTCCTGTTCCTTCTTACTGCTACATTTCCAGTCAGAACATCTGAACCTCTCTGAATGCACTGCTTGGGATATGTGTAGAAGGTTCATGTAGCTATATATTTAACACAGATGTTTAGCTGCTGAGGAACATTATTTGAATGTTGATGCTTCTTCATGCCACTGGATTTGAGATATGGCTCCTGTCCCTAAACATTTGATGCAACCACGTATAAAAATATTTCCATAGGACAATATTATACCACTTTATGTTCCATGAACATTGTCATAATTTTATTTTGATATTTTAATTATGGTATATAATTGCAATATTACATGAACAATTTCTCTTTCATATTTTTCAGCTTGTCCAGATGGTACATTTGGGGTGAACTGTAAGGAGCAATGTGGAAACTGTTTAAAAAATGCTTACTGTGACAAAATTGGAGGTACATGTTTAGCTGGCTGTGAGAGTAGATTTATTCCTCCACTATGCAAGATGAGTAAGTACAATATACATATTATAATCATTTTGAAAAGTAGATGTACTTTATTTTAATTCACAGTGTCCTTATTCATTATACTGTAATTGGCAGATCTCATAAGAAGATCATGCATTGCATACAAAACTAATAATTTCTAGTGTTGGAAATTCTTCAGATTTTGCAATTTAGAACATATAATCTGCAGTTATCATCATCGTTCCTGAAAGGATGTTAACTCACTGGCAGTCTCTGTTAAAATTACTCACAACATATACTTACCAAATCAATTAAAGGATTTCAAATAAATACTTCAGAATTGTAAAAAAGTAGAACAACTGCTGACCAATAAGTAAACAGTTGTTTTACTTTAATCTTCTAATATTTCATATCTATTGTCCTATTATCAGTGATGTCAGTTTTCTGTAGCACTAGTGGTGACATGTGGCCTCAGAGACCACATGTTAGGTAGTCCTATCTGATTCAAAATGTATTTATTTACAAGAGAATTTTAAATCTATCACTATATATCTTGCATGATGTATATATCACAATAACTCTTTTAAAGGAAGCTATATAGTACTTTTCTTAACATTTTGAAAAATATCTGCAGGGTTTGCATGAAGAAAAATGCAGATTTAGAAAATGTAATTTTGTTGTAGTCTTTTGACAAGAAATTGGACAAACTGGAAAATTTTGTTAGTTGATATTACTTCCTACCATAAAGCTTAAAGAAATGAACAGTTTCTTTTCTTTGAGTGAAATTGTGCACTGAGTAAAATTCTTGGTGTCCTCACTCAGCCTCAGTACATTCCTTACACAATGCATTCTATGTACAAATGTTTGTTGTACATTTTTTCTTATATCGTGGACATAGATGGCATATTTACCATTTTTTAAGCTTATGTTAATACTGTTCTGGTGCTTTACTTAATGGTATATCAAGAATACATGAAATGTCAGCTTGTACTTCTCTTGGAATTGTGAGATTTGACCCCCTCTTCATAAGATATTTTGTCACCATTTGACCTTCTGACTATTTCATAAAGTCTAATCTTCAAATCTGTGGACTTTCTGAGTAGGACTGAAAAAGAATATATGGAGTGATTATAAGGTAATAAACCCATATTGAAGTGTTTATAGATGGTATTAATTCAGTACAATTTAATTGGATTAAATACACACAATATTGTTGTGACTATATAAAAGTCCACAAACTTGTAACTGGCTTATGCTGGGTCATTAGTTGTTTTCAAACAGTTGAAGTGCTTGTATCTATTTTTCACAAGTGCAACAGGTGTTCATTGTAAAAAACAACCTGACATCTTGTTCTTACTTAACTTGCCAGAATGAGTTTAGGAATAAATTTCTCAGTTCCGATTTATCAAACATATTGACAGAATCTTGCGTGGTGAACTGTTTCCATGGCATATGAAAAGTGCAAGACAGAAACCACTCTGTTTAACCTTCAATATTAATTAACTATAATTTCAATGTGTGTCAAATTTTGTTATGCTCTCCACAAAAGTCACCAAGAAAACTTTCTCTTCAGCATGGATTATCTTATAAAAGTGTACATAAGGTACAAAGATTTTGAAACTTCATCCATATCATGTACATGTCGTGTATGAACTCTAGGAACCTGATTAGGAAAAATAACTTCAATTCTGCAGATAGCTTATGCACATTATTTGAGGAGGTATAGACATTTTAGATAATGTTTTCTGTAGTGATGAAGCATGGTTGTAGCTAAGTGGATGTGTTAGCAGCAAAAACAGCAGAATCTGGAGCGATATTCATTTAAAACATCACAGCATAGACTCTCCACTGTGTTGCATCAAACATGAGGAAAAGAGTGAATGCATGCATTGCTGAATGTGGTGGACATTTCCACCACTAAATATAACATTGTTTCTTTATTTCAGTATCATTTACTTTTTGGCAAATAGAACATGTGAGAGAAGTGAGTTTAAAGTCTTTTCAATTACCTTGTACGAATTGATCACTGTAATATTTCATAAAAGGTGGGAAATTTCTGTACTAACTGAGCATGCTATTAGCTTCTCTAGTACATCTCTACAACACAGTGTTTAGGAAGATATTTGGACCTAAAAGGTAGGAAGACAGATCATGGAGGAAATTGCATAATGATGAGCATCACAGCCTTTACTCCTTACCTGATATTGTTAGGGTGGTTAAATCAATTATGATGAGATGGACGGGACATGCAGCATGCAGGTGAAAATTTATAAATTAAAATTAATTTCCCATTAATTTCAATGTGAAAAATTCTGACTGGTTCTCTGCTCCCAGATAATCACCCAGTATTTTGCTCAAATATGTCACAATACTATACAGTCATAAGAATAAGAACAGTATCTTATGATAATCAACTCTGTAAAGGACTATTGAAGTGTTAGATCAAACATTTACATTGCATACAAGTTACTGTAGCTACAATATAAATATCAGGACTCATGGAAACAAAACATAAACAATTGTCTGTATTAAAACCTTAATTACTATCATATTATAATCATAATTAAACAGTAATAAGAAATTAATACAATTTTCTGTAATAATTAATGTTAAACTTAAGGTTTTAATCAAGAAAATGGTTCAATGTATTAAAAATTTGAAAATCAGTGGCCTATAATCAGGAGAAAGGTGGACTTTATCGTGAATATGTAATTTGTTACTTTAGGAAATTATTTTAGAAACCATGTAGTGTATATACTGTAAATGTTAAATCATGCCTCACTAAGATACTGGAGTAATTTTTAATTTATGCATACCATACTTACTGTTTCAGAAAGCTATAAAATGTATACATTTTTTTGTCATATGATAAAATATTGCAGCTCTTAGGATAGTATTTGGATATCCAAACTAATAAACTCAGGAACCAAATTTCACATTACTAACATTCTTGTTTGAGTGTCTTGCAACATCTGTCATTTCACAAATATTTGTTTGTGCATTGTAATTCTCAAATGTATTATGACCATTAGCATGCACAGTCTCAGAACAGAAAAATCCACAAATCTGTATAGATTCACTTTGTTCACAGCTGCAGAAGCTCCAGTTAACTTACAGGTTATAAAACGAACTCCTTATGCCATGCAGTTAACATGGGAATATCCCAGTGCTATTAATGACATAGTGAAGGAATTTGTCATACATGTAAAATTGCTTTCATCACAGCTACGAAGACAGGGAGGAAAGAAGACAATTCTGAAATATCAGTTTAAAATATCACCATCTATCACTTATTCATATGAAGTAAGTGAATCTTGAAGTTTATATTTCCTTCAAAGTGTCATTAACATTTTATGCTGCTTGGTAAGCTTACTCAGAAATTTGATTCTGCCACAAGATGTAATTTCTCAGAACATTAAAATTCAATCTCAATCTTGGTACTGTTTTATTGGTAGGTGTGATTATTACTTATTCTTAATATTGTATTTATTTACTGGCCTTTAACTGTTTGAAGAATTATCAGTGTTCACACATCCTCATAGTAACATATACAGTCAAACCCCTTCAGGATACTACACTTTGTCCACCATAAACATGGATGTTAAAGTTGGGGTGGCAGTAAATTGAAACTTTTATTTTACTCTCCAACATAATGGTGCTGAGAGGTTTACCCCATAAAAGGTAAAAATAGTTGGCAATATTTTGCCGGCTTGCACCTGAATAATATTCTTTCTACGCATATAAATTTTCTTTCTCACAACAATTAACACCTCCCTTTTCCATTTGTCAAATAAACACAGATAATTGTGTTTAACCTATATAATACTCACTGTATCTGTGTGGTGCATAATTTCCTTATTGTGAGCAGTCTGACAATTTTATTGAAACTAAAGTACATTTGCATACTGCATGTTAGTTATTCAAAATTCATTGAAAACCTTTTTATTTCAGATGAATTCCAACAAAAGAAAGTGATGATTCTACCAGAATTCTTGGAAGTTTATGTATGCAGCTTATGCTGAGTAATATTTTCATTTTTGAATCAACACCCTTCTCAGTAACATGTTTATTTACTGTAACTGAATAGTTAAGAATTGTCACCATATACACTGATGACTCCAATTAACAACACTTCTCCCTCCATGAGTCACTGTAAGTAGACTCTGACTCAGTAGGTTTTATTTGTAACAGACACTTTGGAATGACACTGTATTAGACCTGGTTACAATGCTTAGTTTTTAAATTTGTGTTTGCATAGGTGTTGGTAGGTAATGGCTAGTTGGGATAGTGCTTTACCAGGACAAGTCCTTTGAAACTGTGTAGGGGGTTTCTGTTACAAGGCTTTTGTAGGTGCAGAATGAGGATGGTAGTATATAGTGGGATGCATTTTTGGGGTTTGACTGTAATTTTTATGAACATTAAACTTTTACTTCGTAGTTTCTTGTTTTCTGTAGGTTCTTGAAATGATGTGTGATAATAGATCTTGGAAAATAATTGTGGATTTTGTGTGCACCTATTTTGTGCAGTACAAAACAACAATGCAGAAGCTATACAAAATTTACATTTAGCTTTATGACAGCAGTACCAATGAAAATTTGCACTTGCTTTCATGAAATGTGACAGGGAAGTAAAATGCAAACATACACACAAAATCTGTATAAATTTTTATGTGTTAACAAATGCAAGAATGGTGGAAATTGTGAATATATGATGATGGTGAAATTATTTATGGCTCCTTTATGACAGTGGAGAAAGCTACAGGTATGGATGTTACACACAGCAATAATTCACTAAATAATATAAGAATTAATTTACAATGTGTCATAGCTTCTATATTAATGTTTAAGCTTTATTCCTAATCCTTCATGTACAAGGAAAGTAATGCACAATCTCGGTGCTAAAAGACTTGAAGATTCTTTAGGGTTTCAAAAGGTACGGAATTCTGTTACTTTAAAAACCTTATCATGAGAGAAGTGTAATCCTGTCCTTCTTTGTGTTTAACTATTTTGTAATTTAAATAAAAAAGATTAATATTGTAGACAATAGCTGTTTCTGAAGAACATGTAATTAGAGGATGATGTAAGTCACTTGCATCACCTTACTGTCATGGGAACCATGTGAACTTGTGATGTTGGACAATATTAGCAAAATTCAGCATAGGATTTTGAACTATTGTATAGTAATAGACCTTTGTAAAGTTATAAATTTTGTACAGTAATATTTTAGGGAACTGAAAAGAACTAACATAGCATTGGTATACACATCTTGTTCCAATGTATCATTGCAACTTTAACCCTAATCTGAAAGGTGCAATGTGTTTATGTTATATGTAACGTTTGTGTCCTAGAAAAGGAGTATGAGTCTTGCTGCACATTCAAATTAATCCACTATCGAATGGTTTGTCAGAGAAAAGGGCATTTCAGATTACATAACTTTATTTTAGGGACTACAAAAAATTGTAACACATTTTTAGCTGCAAGATCTAATTATTCGGAATTATAAAGTGCACCATGATGAAATCAGCTGACTTTATTACTTGTCATATGCATTGTTTAGAAATCAGTTAATACATTCAATAAAAATTATGTTTTATTTTAATAACCACAGGAGTAATTACAATCAGAAAGTGTATAATACATATATGCATCATACTAACATGCAAAGGAACTGTTCTCAGTCTGATAAGTTATGGACATAAAAATCAATCAGGCCTGGTTATAACAGTGCTTCTCTGAGATTTAACAAGTCAAAGAATGAAAGGTTCTAGTTTCCAGAATGTGAAATTATATCATATGGCAGTATATATTAAGGTTTATTTGCAAGTGTTTTATGTATACTCCATTTGTAATTTTAAAGGTGTCCTAACAGTATTCAGTTCTGTTCAAATCCTTCTAAGCATATTCTTTTTCATTTGCTATATGCCTATGTAATCTGAATCTTAACACTTCAGTGCTACTAGGATTTCAGATGTTCTTGGCAGTCTTGTGATTGGAGCATGATGAATGATGCTCTGCCAGAGTAATGTTTATCAAGACACGTTTTAAAGATACAGACTTGCAGTAATTACAGTGAAATGTGGGTGTAAAATGCACATAATAGTGCTTTTTTACATTTCCTACTATTGTTAAGTTTGTACCATGACTTTATTGCCTTTTTTGTACTTTAATTTAACCCTTTGAAGCTACTTGTCTGAATCATGTTTATGAATTCAGTCCATCCTGCAAAGAAAACACTACACTTTACCATGGAAAACATCAACTAGTTAATGATGTTTAAGGAGATAATTGCTGTTTACAGTGAGAATTATAGGAAACTCATAAATACAAAATAAGGAGTTAATGGTTGGTGAAGCATATGGGACATATAGTTATCACTGGGCTTCAAAGAGTTAACTTATCCTTTTGAATATCAATGCAAAGAGAAGTAAACATCTTGTTGGAGATAACACAGCCATTGTTTATGTTTACAGGTGAAAGATTTGCAACCATCATCAGAATATGAGGTGTCTGTTCATGGGATAACTGTTGAACTTAGTGAAGCTGCTGTTTTGAAGTCCGTGAAAACATCGTTGATTGTACCTGATATTGGTTCAGAACTTAACCTATTAGAGGACTGTACATCCCACACCACTCTTCAAGTCATCATTCCAGCTGGAGATCCCTTTCTTACTGTAAACAGGTAAAAAGTGTTCTTATGGAAAGGGGTATCTAAAACATCCAAATATTCAGACAGGATGAACTCCAGTTTTGTCAAATGTGTCTATAATTTGAACTGAACTCTGATGTTTTTACCTATTTTTATCAAGTGCAAGGCAAACATGAAATAATATGCTACCCATTGTACCCAATGTAAGTAATGTGTTGTTGATATTATTGCCACATGATACACTAAAAAATTGTGTAAGATGATTTAGTCTAGAAGGCAACAGACCATTTTGTTTCATGCCCTAATTCCATCATAGGCATACCTTTATTGTTGTTGTAGTTGTTAGTGGTGGTAGTGGTGCTGCTGCTGCTCTAAAATATTTCATCATATTGTGGCCTATTCTTGGATTTGAGTTTGTTTTATTTCCATAGTATGGAACGAACACAGGCAAATTACTTGCTTGTCATATAAATAATGGTGTTCAATAATAATTATATGAAATTGTGTTCTATTACTTCTGTGAAGACACTTTTCAGTTTTGCGAAAGGTAATCATTCAGGTTATTTAAAAACATAGTAGTTTCTGATATGCTGACATTCATGATATGTTATTTAAATTATTATTTTTCAATGTAAAATTTCATCAATATCAGTGTTCTTGAAGAGAGACAGACTGTACACAATTTTCTGTTCATGCTTTTTGACCCTTTAATGAAAATATAAATAAGCAGTGCACAGTAGAGTTATTAGTCTTTATAGTGCCATTGAACAAATGTTTCCTATGCAAATACTCCTTAGGAATCTTTGGCTACTGTAAATTAAATCCGTAAACTGTGCAAGCATTTTGAATAATGTGGCTACTGTGAACATGCAAATGTATTATTGCTGCTATACATTTTAGGACAAGGAATTTGGTAGATTCTGAAAACTAAAACTGTAAGAGCAACTGAAGAGTTCTGCTAACTCATCATGTTAGTTCCATGTTAATCTCAGAAGCTAATGATGAAAGGGAGAATGCATCAGAACACATTACACAGAACACATGTTTTAATTCAAGTATTTTGCAGCCGACTTACACATTCTTATATTGATTTTGATGGTTTGTTATTTTATAAATGTACTGGAGTACATTATTTCCTTTCTATGTCAATCATATTTAGTATTCTCTAATATGAATTTATTTCTTGTCTCCAGCTACAGATATCTTTCTTACTGTAAAAATGTAATAAGTATTCCTACGGAAAGAATGTGTAAACGTCCAACAATTCAGATAGGATGAACTCCAGTTTTGTCTACAATATGTATAATTTCACATCCTGCTGTGCACAAGTGGTTAATTATAGCGTTGTATGATAGCCAATTTTTTTATAAAATAAGTGTGGTACTTTTTTTATTTGACACGTTTGGCATGTAGAAAAGTAAGTTTATAATTTGTTACACAGTACCTGAAATTCATATCAAGACAAACAAATTTTCTTGGATTTCAGTCAATATGAAGTTTATGGTTTGTCTGAAAATCCAACGTATTCACTGTGTTGTTTTTTATAGCTCCTATTTTGTGCTTGTAACATCTGATAAGGAAGAAGTAGCTGCATCTGTAACAAAGTTAGAAATGATGGAACTTTTTATGAAGACAGCAAATGTTAAACGTGATGAGTGTTCTTGGATTGCTGCAGAAATAGAGGTGAGGTATAACATAAACAGCTACAGTGACATTCACCACCATCACCAATCTTAATATGCTATCCATAGTAATAAATATTCCATCTGGTGTGGAGACTATACCATTACAAAAACTAATGTTAAGATTACATTTTTAAGTATTTATTTGGTTAATTTAGTGTGTTGACAATTTAAAATAACTAGTGTCGTTGAGTCAGTTATAAACCCATTAATCAGTTACAAAATCAGTTTATGATGTCCTCCATCTCTGTAAGCCCCTAACAACATCTCCAGTGCCAGCATTACACCCACAATTATCTCTTCCAACTGGCACTGCTGAAGTTGCTTATATCACCTCAGTGCCCACCAGTATCACTTTGAGTAACCATTAAGTGGTTTTTGGTGTCCAAACTAATGTTTCTTTTGTCTTGTAAAAACAGGTTTTTGAATGATTTTTAATTATTTTTCTTTCTCCATGACTGTACTGATTGGACAGATTGTGTAGTTCCAATCTGCATTAATTAGGCCATGCTTTACTCAATGATAGTCATACAGATGCTTCCTGTTTCTTATCTTGGCCTGAGAAAGACTAATTTGTATTATACTTTTACAAAATAGCCTGGTAGCCCTTGTATAATCTTTTACAATGGAATTGGCATTAAGTAAGAATATATATCATTAATGTAATTCTTAAAATTGCATGTAAGTAATTTAAAATTCTCCTAACAGTATCCCAATGTAGTTTTGAGTTATACAGAACCATGTAATTAATTCCAAGTTTCATCATGGTTGTTAATGCATGATCATATGTTGAATAACTGAAATTCATCAATTGTCAGCAACACGGTATGCTATATCTGATATAATTTATTTTGCATAAATCAATAAAACTTCAAAATAAATTACTTGTGTACTAACTTTGTGGTTTTTAACTAACAATAGCTGTATACATGGTCAACCATGCAGTTTCACATTGAAGTGTGTCTGACAAATTGTGAGTCACTGTGTTCTGCGGTAATAACTACTTGCCTTATGTTCATGCCCTCTGCAGCAGACCCAGAGGGTGCACCATGATAAGACACTGAAGCTGATGCATGACTAGAGGAGTGGTGACATGAGCATGGGCGATAAATTATTCCTTATGCAAAGACACTGGCTGTTCACAGGTCTCCCACATTCTATATGTTATTTTTAGTGGTATTTTGTAATGACAAATGTTTTTGGTACAACATGTACATAGTGCAGGATCTTGAACTTCCGGCATCTTGCGTCTACAACCACATGGAATGAGGCAAATGTTCTATATAGTAAATCCTAACCACACATTGGATCTCATCTAAAGGAATATCAGTATGTAAGGAAGGTAATTTGTGAACTATCTAATGGATTTGATTAAACAGAAGTGTGAGGGTTTCATAGAGGAATACAAAAATGTGACTGTGAACTGACTAACAAGTGAGTATGAAGTTCTGCCAGGGGAAACACCAAAAGTGATTATACCTTGAATAGTGTGAATTAGGAGATGATGTGAAAAATCTACAAAGTGCATTATTTGGAAAATAACATCACAAGATTTGATACAGATGAACGTTTTTGCATGATAATAAAGATATCAGGTCTCTTCTCAGGTATATAATTTTCTAGTCAGAACATTGTGATATAAGTCTGCAATCTGTTCATATATTTTGAATCTGAAAGGAGGAGACCAAGTTGTCTGAACAGTGGGAGTATAAGACAAATTTCCTGGTGAAGTGCTTGGATGAGTGGGAATAAAGGAAGGCTCCTGTTGCTGACAAATTGGTTCAGATTTCAGTAAGGTGGAAGCTGAATAAATAAATTAAAATGTTTCATTGAAAGCCACTGAAATAGTGTTATGTACCTTGGACATCTGTCCTCATTTAACATGTATTCTCTGTCATGAATAATGTGCTCTACAAGCAAACTTCTCACTCAGTTGTGAAAAGTTGTATGATATGCTCATCAACAACCAGAATTCTCGTAAGAATATCAGCAGTTCAAAGAAATATCCTTGGCTTTTTGATAATGAATGTTTCTCATCAAAATTGAGGTGTTGGATGTGTCAGGCTTCTGACAAGAAGCATGTGTGTCTTGCTAAGATTGTCAACCTACAGAAGGATTAGAGGTTTAGCAGCAGAGAAGTGAGCCATATTCAACCTAAAAGACAATGTGCAATTATTTACTCCAAATTCACATTCTTAGTGTTATGAAAGAAAGTCAAACATAATTCATTTAGTCATATGAGTTACATCCCTAGAAATATTGCATTGTAATACAGTATACTTGAGCCAAGCTATTTTAAAAAAATTCTATTTGGGTAAACTAGCGTGTACCATTTTTGGCTCCAAACATTATGGTCACCTTCAGAATCAAATCTTAAACCTCTTTCATTTGTACAGGTGTAATATTTTACCATTTATGTGATGTCACAAGAACTCTTAAATGCAATGAAATATTACAGTAGGGCACCGCTTATACGGCGGGTTAGGGGCCAGACCCCCGCCGTAAAGCGAAAATCGCCGAAAAGCGGATCTTTGCCTTATTTCACTTGCAAATGCATATCAAAGCCTAATAAGATGTTACACAATCATATAGTAAGTGCACAATAGCGCTAGGCCTAAGAAAACGATATGAAATTAAAATGAATATCAGTAATACACACATTGTCCTCAGCTTATAGTGATTGGTGAATATAAATTTGAAAATTGATATGCTTATAGTAGGAAGGATGAAGGAGATGGCGCATCTTCATCATCTGACTCTTCAACGAATCCTATTCGTTTTGGTGATGGTTCGGAAGCCATAGACATGCCTTGTTCACGAAGTTTAATCATCTCTAACTTGGCATTTAAAGTAAGAGGCTTACGACTCCTCTTTTTATCGCTACTACCCTTAGACGCCATTGTAATTACACTGTAGTAACACAAAAATATTATATAAATATACAGTTTGTAATAACTGAAAAATTGCCAGAAATACAGAGACGTGGAGCGCACAAAAGCTGTAAACAGACTGAATCAGCAATGAGAAAATGGTGCCGGACGCACTTCTCTGACTCAGCTGTTGAGCGCCGTATTAGCGGATCGCCATAAAGCGGAGCGCCGAAAAGCGGGGCCCTACTGTATTAATGCTCTAATGACTTTCTGTACTGAATGTGTTGCTGAAGATGTCATAGCATATTTGAGCTTCAGTGTGAAAAAGAAAATGGAGTTCAGAGTTGGTGATATTAGCAATCACTGTGTTTTCGGTGATAATTACAGATCTGTTGCTGAAATTTTTATAGCATGTTTCAGCCTCAAGATGAAGAGGAGCTTTTTAAAGTTGGTGATAATACAGAAATGATCTCCGGTACTTCTGGTGATGTCTACTGGAACCGACCCCTGGAACCTGGCATATTGTATGATTTGATTCTGGTAGCACTCAATTGGCAGGATGGTGAATACGAGTACAGTTTTGCAAAACTGAAGCATCCTGTTCAGACTTTGTCTGAAAAGAAAGGTGGCATGGGCGCTGAGTGGGCTGCATTGCTGCTGTTGCTGATAATACCAGTAGCTGCAGTAGCTGTGTACTTTGTTATAAGGTCAGTTTTATATTAAACTCATGTCTTAGGATCCCCACAGAATAGCATCCAATACCCTACTGGTGGAAGGAATTTATGGCTCCTCCTTCATATCAATGCTCAAAGTAGTTTTTTTATTCTTCCCAGCTTCTCTGAATTTATGCCAATGCTCAGTCTAGCCTTGGCTTGATTTGACACCAGGAATACAAGATTGCTTATTCAATGCCATTGACATCTCCAGAGCAGTATTTTAATTACAAAAACTTGAAAATATAAATGTAAGGATATGTTCCACATGAAGTTGAAATTGTCTTAAATAAATTACATTTGTGTTCAATAACAAAGTTATCATAAATCCTGTGCTGAGGTCGGCTATAATACCATATAATGTTAGGATTTAAATTCCCATAATCCAAGGAAACTTTCTTCTAATCATGAATATTATTACTCTAATTAATATTAATATTTTGTGATTGTTTTTATACATTGTACAAGAAATTTGTGTTTCTTATAGAAGATAATATTAAACTGAACAATCTTTTTGAGTTTCTTTTTATGTTTACAGAAAGCCAAAGCAGACTGAGCCTATTGAATTGATTTATGAAGATGCTGTTCCTGGTAAGTATAGTTCTAAAATGTATAAATCAATCAGTTGACTTTCTTGACATTACAATAGGAGTTTATGTTGAAGGAAACTAAAATCTAACAATCAGCCTAAATATGATCCAAATCTCTTATTTCCACAATCCAAATGCGTACCACTGCATTAAGTGTAACTTAATGTCTCTCGTTTATTTCATCCAACTACCACAAATGGCCTTTCACTTAGTATCTTGTTCTTAACATGGCAGTGGAACTTGTGGTCTTCTAAATGTTTGATAATTCTGCTCAGGGGAATGAGTTATTTATTCAGATAGTTATTTACAAAATGTATGACCCATCTTCTTCAGTTGGGTTTTTATGTAATACTGAATAACATCATGTGACTTAAGATTGTCTTCCTTTCCAGCACACACACAAGTGTGCACAAGCATATGTACACAAAGCCTCCCACAATCACACACACAAACTCACACTCACATACACAAATATATACAGACCATATATATCGACTCTACATGCTGAAGTTTCTTCTGAATTTGCTGTTTGTCTATATATGCAAATGTTATTCTTCCATATTTGTTAAGAGAGACAAAACTAAAGAAATGAGCAAATCATTTAATAAAATTTATGTATAATATAACATATTTTTAAGTGAAGACATCATGTAGATATGTTGTGTCTTTCTATCGAGTCTTTGATATGAGACTGTGCTGCCATCTATCAGTTCTTGTACAAAATATTCATTTGGCCATAAATTTTTTTGAAAAATTGTTTAATAAATATTCATGACACTTGATATCATGATTATGCCATCGGAGTCTAAGCCAAACTTGTACTTTTTAATTTTCTGTAGTCTGCAGTACCAATGTGACAGGTGCACTAATTCATGAGATAGGAGGAAAATCATTTAGGATGGTTTCATTACCCATGATCCTCCATGCTACTGTCATCACCGTGATGTCCCATATACATAGGGGAGACCAGGGCAGAAGGGGGAACTTAATTTTTAGAGGCATGTGGAAGGGACAATAATAAAGACAAACATATAGAGGAACATTGTGTGGATTTATTGTCTATTTGAGATTTATAATGATTTATTAGTTTAGTTCTAAGAGTTACGTTTTTTTTTAAATATTAAATTCTTTACAAAAATGTAACTTGCCCCATACCCGGGGCAAGACAGAGTATGGTTGATATATGTTTTGAAAAGTTGTTAGAAGACATAGATTATCTAATAATTATGACGTAGGATCTAAAATTGATTTAGTATACAATGTAAAATATCGAAATTTTACACATTTGTAATCTACTTAGGCCTAACGCAGACGGCAAACATGTGCACCTCTTCTTCATCATGTCTACCAACACCTGCACTTGAGTTATGGGCCCATTTCAAACAAGACGAATACTGGATCCAACTTTCAATAGACTGCGAATAGATATCGCCACTTTACAGGCACTTGTCATTTTATCCTCTTCTCTGGGTACCCCATCCTGCCCCGAGTACATTCTTTCAAATTAGGATTGTCCCACCGAAAATGACTTCATGAAAATAAATAAAAATTTTGTGTTTAAGACTTTCATGAAAACACCTTGTAACATGCAACATTTAACAAAGTGGAAGTGAATAATGAATAGGTTTTACCTTCACTGGAAGATAAAAAAAAATTATAAAATGTAGGAGCAAAATCCCTTAACCTAAAATACCTTATGTCAAACATTTTTCCTGAACATGCCTGTACTCCATTCAGTTCACATGGCCCACTTTAAAACCATAGTTTGCAAAGTGTTTAAGGGACAATCAACTGTTCCAGCTGAGCTTCACTTTTATCCACCTTCTGCTTTATTAATAATTGTAAATGTTATTTTGGATTTGTGTCTGTTAACACAACAGCTGTTCTTACTTTTATGAATAATGTTAGTACTGGGAAACTTTTTTCTGCATTTACTCTGACTTTTCCTAATAGAGTTACACCACATTAAGATTCATGACATGTAATAGTCTGGTGTGAATTTATCCCTCTCTTACTCAAATAGAATCTTGAACAGCACTGAGTTATACATGAATAAAACTGGGCAATACGAAAGTAAACAACTTCCTCTTGTTACTTCTAACTTGCAGCAATTTGAGACAACCGATTAAATGAACACATACAGTGGCACAGCTGGCATATATCCCCACTGTGTATATGCAGAATATTTTTCTTAATGTAAAATTCAGACCTGGTTGACAAGCATGAACTTTCATTGATGTAATAAAAATACTTGTCTTGTTGATCTTGTGGTTTATAGAAAGACAAGAACCTGGACCTAATAGAACTCCAGACTGCCATGCAGCAGATGAGCCAGTATATGAAACAGTGGTATGAATACAAATCATGAAATAGATTGCTATTTTCAAAAATAAGGTACGTGGGTGAAGACATCAGTAACGTTATTCACAAATGTCAAATATGGGCTGATGAAACAACCTGCCTTCCGTAGCTACTTACACTTCATGTAAGAGACAACTCGTAAATTGAAGATACAGAGGCAATAACAGAGCAAAGAACTGTAAATTTTATGCTACTCAAACAATTTCTAACTTACTTTTGTTCCCATATATATTGTATTATTTGTGTAAATTATTAAAATACAAATAGAGAAATATGAATTGTATTTCTGGGTGGCATCCTTCAAAATGGACACAGTATGGATCTCTGAATGTTGCCAGTACAGAGAATTGCTATAACCACAATAAAATAAAACCTTAAAATCTTATTACATAGAAATTTCACAAACAGGAAGCAGCATTCTTTCTATCTCCACATAATTCAGTATTGTGCATGAGTTCAATCCATAGTATTTAAGATAGGGGAACTCAGGGCAGAACGGGGAACTTAATTTTTGGAGGCATTTGGAAGTGATAATAACAAAGACAAACACATGGAGGAACCTTGAGTGGATTTATTGTATATTTGAAATTTATAAAGAGTTATTACTTTACATGTAAGTGTTACAGATTTTTAAAATATTAATTTCTTTACAAAAATGTAACTTGCCCCATTTTGCCCCGTGCCCGGGGCAAGACGGGGTATGGTTGATACATGTTTGAAAAATTTGTAAGAAGACACAGATTATCTAGTAATTATGACGTAGGATATAAAAATGATAAAAGTATACAATGTAAAATGTCGAAACTTTACACATTTGAAATCTTCTTAGGCCTAACTCATGTGCACCTCTTCATCATAGTCACTATCAACACCTGAACATGAGTTATGGGTCCACTTCAAGCAAGACGAACACCGGATCCACCCTTCAATAGACTGCAAATAGACACAGCCAAAATACTGGCCCTCGACATCTTGATCCTCTTCTGTACTTTTACTCGGGGCAAAACTGGATATCCCATTCTGTCCTACCCCATCCTGCCCCGAGTGTATTCTTTCAAATTAGGATTGTCCCACCAAAAATGACATAATGAAAATTAATAAAATTTTGTGTTTAAGACTTTCATAGAAACACCTTGTAACATACATCGTTTAACAAAGTGGATATGAATAGGTCTTACCTTCACTGGAAGATGAGGAAAATTTCTGAAATGTAGGAGTGAACTGCAGCATGGGTGATTATTTCAGAAACTGTAACCACAAAATGGAGCTGACTGACGTGACATGACCCTGTGCTCTATGCTAATGGTATTTCACCCGGTCCCGATAGATCGCAACGCATTGCAGACAAAATAAAGCCAATAACCTATTCTGCCCTGGTCTCCCCTATATGGTGAATGTGAATTTGTTTTAATTGTTTGTATTATGTAGTCCCACGCAACAGTTGCTACTAATTTACTTTGAAACTTTAGTCTTCATTTATAATATAATAGGTGTACATTGCTTTCTTCTATCTCCCTTCATCATATGCCTTATGTCAAACATTTTTCCTGAACATGCCTGTACTCCATTACAATATTTTCACATGAGGCTCTATACAGACAAACCAGCAACTGGCTCGTAGTCATTTAATACACAACATACATTGTGGTAGTTCTGTACTTTCACACCAGGCATTTGAAAGAAGACCAGCACAGGAGGCAGCAGAATATGAAAAATACTCAAAACACATTGAAGATTCACCTGATATATTGTCAGAGTGTCTGAACAGATATTCATGCTATTTGGTAAGGACATTATGAAATGAAAGAAGACAATCTATACTTTTCCATCTTAATTTTCTACATATGGTAATAGAAACATGTAGGATGTTCACACATGTGACATGGAATGTGTTGTTATTTGTCAGCATTTGTAATTCATGCTGCCATCTATTATTTGCTGTAAGATATCACACCCACTACAAATGGTGCTGAGAACACCCATGGATCTTTTGCGTACAGGTGGCTCGATTACATACTATCCACAATTTCATTTCAGTAGCATCAATATCCAGTCTAAGGTCAAATTTCAAGCCTGTTACCTGCATCAAAACTTATTTAGGCTGATCAAGGATTGCACTGCATTTAACAAGCTAGGCATCAAATAATTATGGCACCATAACTTGATACTACTTTATCTAGAATCCAAGCTCCATTTTCATCCAATTTTTGTTCTGTAAGAATTTGATGCTTACGTTTTGGTATTCTCTCAATTAGTGTCTTGGCAATTTTTATACATTGCCCATTTTGCAGGAACACGGTTCCCATGTATAACAAGAATCACTTGTGCTCTCCAGTGTAAAACTTTCCAGTCTTGTTGACTCTTATGATACTTAAGAAAATAATATTGGGGGATATTTGGTGGTTGCAAAAAGGTATGACCTTTAGGCTATGTACAAATACTGCATTGTATGCCACCTTTACCTGCAGTAATAGTGAGATTGCAGTGGTCTTGTAGAGATAAGCTAACTCATGAACATTGCAGGAAATGCTGTTGACTCAGATATATTTTCCACACCTTCTAACTGTTACTGGCTCACACACTGTTGTTATCTAGATATATTGGACACCTGAAAAAGAATGATTTATGTTAGGTGTCCCATGCATGGATTATTTTATAGCCTCTAGTTTTACATATCTCCATTAGCTTAAGATGCCAATTAAAGAAAGTAAGTCTGACTGCTGAATCTCATGGTTATCGTTAGTGTGCAGTTAATGTTTTGGAAGGCCATAGTTTCAGTAGTTCTGTAGCAGTTCACATGGCCCACTTTAATACCATAGTTTCTTATGCAAAGTGTTTAATAAGAGACAATCGACTGTTCCAGCTGTGCTTCACTTTTATCCACCTTCTGCTTTATTAATAATTGTGTTTTGGATTTGTGTCTGTTAACACAACAGCTGTTCTTACTTTTATGAATAATGTTAGTACTGGGAAACTTTCTTCTGCATTTACTCTGACTTTTCCTAATAGAGTTACACCACATTAAGATTCATGACATGTAATAGTCTGGTGTGAATTTATCCCTCTCTTACTCAAATAGAATCTTGAACAGCACTGAGTTATACATGAATAAAACTGGGCAATACGAAAGTAAACAACTTCCTCTTGTTACTTCTAACTTGCAGCAATTTGAGACAACCGATTAAATGAACACATACAGTGGCACAGCTGGCATATATCCCCACTGTGTATATGCAGAATATTTTTCTTAATGTAAAATTCAGACCTGGTTGACAAGCATGAACTTTCATTGATGTAATAAAAATACTTGTCTTGTTGATCTTGTGGTTTATAGAAAGACAAGAACCTGGACCTAATAGAACTCCAGACTGCCATGCAGCAGATGAGCCAGTATATGAAACAGTGGTATGAATACAAATCATGAAATAGATTGCTATTTTCAAAAATAAGGTACGTGGGTGAAAGGTGCTCATGTAACTACCAGAATGAATCCCCAGTGGATACCTCTTAGTAATTTAATCATTGAGACAGTCAAGCTCCATTCATGCAGTGAACACTGACTTCCAGGAAACTCTAACATCAGTGACGTTATTCACAAATGTCAAATATTGGCTGATGAAACAAACTGCCTTCCGTAGCTACTTACACATCATATAAGAGACAATTCATAAATTGAAGATACAGAGGCAATAACAGAGCAAAGAACTGTAATTTTTATGCTATTCAAACAGTTTCTAACTTAATTTTGTTCCCATATATATTTTATTATTTATGTAAATTATTAAAATACAAATAGAGTAATATGAATTGTATTTCTGAGTGGCATCCTTCAAAATGGAATCAGTATGGATCTGTGAATGTTGCCAGTACAAATTACTGCTATAACCACAATAAAATAAAACCTTAAAATCTTATTACATAGAAATTTCACAAACAGGAAGCAGCATTCTTTCTATCTCCACATAATTCAGTATTGTGCATGAGTTCAATCCATAGTATTTAAGATAGGGGAACTCAGGGCAGAACGGGGAACTTAATTTTTGGAGGCATTTGGAAGTGATAATAACAAAGACAAACACATGGAGGAACCTTGAGTGGATTTATTGTCTATTTGAATTTTATAAAGAGTTATTACTTTACATGTAAGTGTTACAGATTTTTAAAATATTAATTTCTTTACAAAAATGTAACTTGCCCTATTTTGCCCCGTGCCCGGGGTAAGACGGGGTATGTTTGATTCATGTTCGAAAAAGTTGTAAGAAGACGCAATCTAATAATTATGACGTAGGATATAAAAATGATAAAAGTGTAGAATGTAAAATGTCGAAACTTTACACATTTGAAATCTTCTTAGGCCTAATACATGTGCACCTCTTCATCATAGTCACTATAAACACCTGAACATGAGTTATGGGCCCACTTCAAGCAAAACGAACATCGGATCCACCCTTCAATAGACTGCAAATAGACATCGCTAAAATACTGGCCCTCGACATCGTAATCCTCTTCTCTACTTTTACTCGGGGCAAAACTGGATACCCCATTCTGCCCTACCACATCCTGCGCCGAGTATACTCTTTCAAATTAGGATTGCCCCACCAAAAATGACGTCATGAAAATGAATAAAAATATTATTTTTAAGACTTTCAAGAAAACACCTTGTAACATGCAACATTTAACAAAATTGAAATGAATAATTAGCCTGCGTAGTGTCGACGCAGTCTGAGACATGATCCTCGTGTGCCTGGCCGCTGCGACCGTGGGTTCGAGTCCCACTCAAGGCATGGATGTTTGTCCGTGTTCCCTCTTGCAGTCTTGTGGGTAAAGACTGGCCACGGAAGGCAAGGCTAACCACCGTGGTACTTTCGCAAGAAACCCCCCGAAAGGGTTCACGACGGTCTT